AACGTTACTACGGGCACCACCGCTCGAGCAGTATCGTAATATATTGGAACAATACATCCCGCAGACACCACATAATATGGACGAAATTGACGGAATAAATCCATTACCTACCACAATAGCTATCAATCAAAAGATAGGGCATAGTAGAACACTAAAAAATACAGATAACAACTCCCCAGTCCTGCCGAAATTTGACTTGGCATTCGACTTGGCGTTAGATTTAACAACAGTTGACGGGAGCGAAGAAGGTAGTGAAGAAGGAATTGTAATGAGAGAATGGTTGAAAGAAAATAATGGACAATACGCGGAAACAATCGCGACATGTCAAGAACAGGTACTGATTCAAGAGAAAGTTATACCTGCGAGGACTATTGAGACCTATGCACCAATAGATACCAATTCAACCATTACCTTTATAGAACCAAACGGTAATACACCTACGTGTTTTGCTAGTAGCAGAGAAACTAAAAGAGTAGAAGGCGATATAAGACAAACCACATTATTGGTATTGCCAAAACATGGCAAAGAAGGAGATAACAAGTTAGCACAACCAGGAGTTATAGTAAGAAAACAGGCACTAGGCCTAGCATTACAAAAAGACGAAAGTAATAAAATAAAAATAAAAACGACGAGTAATCACGACACAAACCAGTCTGTAAGAAACGGATCGGAAAAAGAAATAGATGATGGAGCCAATAAAGGGCACACCATCACGATTCAACGTAATCAAAATTTAGAAACCTATGCAACTTCATCTCAGAGAAGAAACGCATGGAGGCCACAAAGAAAGAATTTAATAAATGTGGAGTCTACTGCCGGATACGGACAGCAACAGTACAGTTCGAATCAACAGTACGAACGGTATCCCACCACGTTTAGAGATACGTACAACACTAGATATAATACAAGGTATTATAGACATTCACGATACCAGAAACGTGGGACCACGGTCTCAAAACAGGCACGACAGGGAACATACTCACCCTCACCCTCACCCTCAAACATTAAAAGGGGAAGCTCCCCCGAGTTTAATTACTTTACAACTACCACCACAACACTTAATGTTGGGGCATGAGATGATAGCTGAACGAATACAGCAGCAGAGACAACAAAAAACAGCCAACCACATAAATAAAGAAAAGAAAAGGAAGGGAAAGAAGTGGAGAAAGAATCAAATACTGCCAGGATATATTCATGAGAAAGTATTAAGTTAAATTCGAATACTATCCTGCAAAAACATAGAGGATGATGATTTATTTATCGAACTGGTTAGAACTAGGCATGTGACAGTTCCATTTCAGCTCATAGAGCTGGAACTGG